CCCCTCTATAAGTGCCCAGCGCTTGCAGTGCAGAGTGCCCCCCTTGTACCGATTCTTGCCCTCTGAAGTGTAAGCACAGCCGTTGTAAGAAGAAATGTGGGGAACCCTGCACAAACTGCCAGGTAAAACATCTTGCAGTAGGAAAACCAAACTAAACAGTTTTTTATTTTGATGTTTGAATACACGTGGAAATTGAAGCGTGAACTATTTTACATTTCTGGAAATAACCATAGTTGGATTTGACCTTTTTTCCCTAAATTCATATCAATTCACTCGTGTCAGTCATGGATTCGCTGCTTCTCGACAGGAAAAATGTGTAAGAAGTTGCAAACACCAAACTTGCGAAAAACTCTGCAGTCAGAAGTGCTCAGTCCCACCCTGTAAGAAACCTTGCCCGAAAAATCTTAGATGTGGGCATCCATGCGTTGGGTACTGCGGTGATCCCTGCCCGCATTTGTGCCGCACTTGTGACAAGGACACACTTACGGAGATACTCTTTGGCTCCGAGGACGAAGAAGATGCAAGGCAAGGACTTCTTTGCGTTAATTCTTCCGTGATTGTTGACATTTTTAAGACTGTCAAGTTTTGTTTTCTTGTTGAATTTAGTGAAACCTAAAGGGTATATCCGGTTTCTTTCAATTATTTGAAATATTGATATGCATGTGTAAATATAACTAAAAATCACGATGTTATTTCCATCTAGATTCGTGCTACTGGAAGACTGTCGCCATGTAATAGAAGCCGACGGTCTTGAGAACTGGCTCTCTAATGATGACGGTGAAATTTCCATGAAAAAATGCCCACGATGCCAGAGCCCCATCTACAACAACAGACGTTTCCACGGCTTAGTCTTGAAGTCTTATGAAAATATCCGGGAACTGAAATACAAATATTATACAGAGAAACCTGTAATCCAGCAACGGCATATTGAACAAATTCTTAGTGGTGAGTATATAAATTGTGTGTAAATTCTGCAATTCAAGTTGTGTTATGCATTACTGCGTTAATTTTGGTTTTTATTTTAAGTAATGTTGTTTTATCATTATTATCATTATTCCAAACAGATGTATCTATATCTAACGGTTTCCATGAAGAGGTCAGACAAATAAAGAAGTTCATCCGCCAAGATCCACAGAACGTGGCTTCTAGGAAAATCAAATACCTAAGTGACGCCGAATTGGTTTTATTCAAGTTCCAAGCTAGCGTCCTGCAAAGGCTTTCCGAGTTGCTCAGACAGCACCCTGATTTATGTGATCCTCTGAAAAAAGAAGCTGAGTTTGTACTGATGCGAGTCATGAGCCAAAAGCTACGAATTTCTCTACAGATGATGGAAGAGATTACTTGTGAACTGCAACGCATTGTAGTTCTCCCAGCATACTGGAAGGTACTCGAGCGTTTCCTACAAACCAAACTCGAACCTCTCGGTAGGATCCGAAATGAACTTGCTAACTGTTTTCACCCGTGTCGAAAGTTCGATAGTCAGACGGAGAAGAAAGTCCGGGGCCTCTTTAAAGAAAGTAAGAAATTTATTGGCGGCCTTGGGATAAGTGAAGAAGAAAGGCTCCAGATCATTGAAGCCGTTGGACTCAAGCAAGGTCACTGGTACAAATGCCCTAACGGCCATATTTACTGCATCGGGGAGTGTGGAGGAGCCATGCAAGAATCAAAATGCCCAGAGTGTGGAGAAACAATTGGTGGCAGAAACCATGCTCTCCATGGTAGGAATAGGCATGCGGGAGAGATGGACGGATCGCGCTATGCTGCCTGGTCTGACCAAGCCAACATGGCAAACTATGTAATTGATTAGTAATTGATTTAGGAGTGAATCCAGTCTTCTGAATATGAATATGATTCAAAGATTAACAAATAGTTAGAAATGGAACCTTTATCCCTCTTTCCCCCCTTTCTCCACACACACACACACACACACACACACACACACACACACACACACACACACACACACACACACACACACACACACACACACACACACACACACACATATATATATAGATAGACATGACCACTACGTCTGTTTGGATATGTGACCTACTTATTTTTAAGCAATATACCAGATACCAATATGGACTGTATGGATTTACCATTAGATTGCGGTTATTGCAGAAATGTGTTTATTATCTTATGCTTTAATTTACTTTATAATCCTATTTTCTTCTTGATCGGGGGTTCATGATTGATGAATTTAGTCTTAATAAGTTCTTATAAACTAATTATTCTCCTTTTGTTGCCTTTGCTCCTAGCACATGCTCTCTTTTCCGGAGTATACCACTTTCATGATTCGATTTACAGCTCTGTCAGCAAATAAATTGTGAAGTCACTTTCGAGTTTTCCCACACCTTCGCTACCAGATCTAGCAGTTCTCCAAGCATACTGGGAGGTACTCGAGCGTTTCCGGCAAACCAAACTCAAACCTCTCAGTAGAATCCGAAATGAACTTGCTAAATGTTTCCATGAAAAATTATATATACAAAAAAAT